CTTCCCCAATGTTGGAGAGATGTCGTGAGTGCACACATGGGATTTTCTGTTGCATGCCTGTTATCTCTGGACATAATTCAGTTTTCACCGTGTCCATGATTGCCATCCTGAGGCTGTGCGGAGCTGCGTCGAATGCCAGCAATTTCCTATTGCCGGCAGGGACGTTTTCCTTGTCTGCCAGAGTGGGCACCGGCCCACGGTATGGCTTCTGTAGCTTAAGGATGGCAATATCAAATGCACCCTCAGCATGGCGCTTCCAGCTCGGATGGGAGAATGCCGCCTCAACCCTGTTGACTTGAACCTGCAGAACCAGCCTGGGTAATTCACTAGCATCACGCATTAACTTTCACATGTTTTGTTTCAACATTGAGGTACTGCCACAGCACTGAGGAGTCATGCATCAAAAATGCAAATCCTGTCAAAACAGGGTCAACCATTTTGGGTACCCTTTTCTGCAAGCGCTAAAGCAGCACCCACAAAGGGCGGCAATAAGGAGTGCCGAGTCACCTGCCCCACCCAGATCAGTGTGGCACATAGCTCCCATATGTTGTCTTGACAGCGAATGTTAGGAAGAACAAATTCACACCTTCAGTTCCAGCCAATTTGGGGTGCCTTCCACCAGGGAAAAAGGGCCAAATAACACGTGCTCAAAAACGTGTACAATGTTTATGGGTTTGTGTAACTTTGTGTTCTTAGCATGCAAAACTTTGATGAAATGTGTTTTATGTGTGTTCGAAAAAGTGTTATTTGCTCCTTTTTCTTGCTAGTGTTCAGCACACCTTCAAATTACAATGCTGTGAAGTGCGAACTGTCAAATTTGGCTGACGATGGAACCTGTGAGCTTCTGACTGGCTGCTGCATAAACTATCCAGTAGTCCACAACATGGACAAAATAAACTGCATGAGGTGATTGTTCAGAATGAGAGCCAGTCTGTACCTTGGGCGATGATTCTCTGTTGTTCCCACTCTCAATGCTCCCAATGATCACTTCAGGTTTTTCTCCAACTTCACCAAGGCAATGTGCTGCAGTGATGGCATATGATTCACTGACAACAATTCCCTGGCAGCAGTGGTCCTTTGTACAATTGAGAAACTGCAACAGGAATGGAAACCGATCCTGAAGGACAGGAGTCCACTCGTTCTGCGCACAACACAGCAAGATATAGAAATCAGCGAAGACAATGCCCACCCTACAAACGCCAACATTGCGGTGTCTGATCAGCAGCTTATATCCATACAGCAGGCAAATTTTTGAGAGAATTTGTGCCGGACGAGAACACACTGTGTATGTCGCTGTGCGTGCAAAGTTCTATCTGCCAGCAGAAAAAGCCTTCCAAACTGTCTCAGAATTGGTGCACTCAGACGCATTCCTTTCAATTCCACCACAATCCACAATATGCTTTGGGAGCACAACAGACAAACCTGCACCAGGACGCATTCCCATATTGCACAATGACTCCCATGGGGCGTATTCAACCATGCACCATAGGATATAACGCAGGCCCTACTTCACTTCTGTGGGATTGGTATGGGCCAGGTTGTGTGGATTCATGGAAAAGTCAACACACCATGTCATGGTCAACCGCTTGTGTTTGCATCCAATCAGAGATGTCTGCGCCAGTGTTGCCCGGGGCATGGCATGTCTGGGTATCCTCAAAATCAGCTGCCTCGACTGTAGCAGGTGCCTGCTTGGGAGCTCTAAGCGCCTGCGGCCCCAACAAAGTAAAGGCAGCAGGAATGTTGTTGTCTGTAACTGCACCTGCAAGAGTGGAGCACCTTGGCAACAATCAGATCTGGTCCCTGATGGCTGTCTGGTCAATTTTATGCTCAAGATCATGTTGAAAGCGCTGACACAGGCATGCTAAATTGCATGTGTCTTCATTCAGTGTGGTGATTGAGTTTCTGATTCAAGCCACTGGTGGAAAACAACAGTATTGCAACTACAAATGTGCCGTTTTTTTGCATGAAATTGCACCATCACAGCGATTGAAATGGCCTATGATTGAATGTGATGGCATCAATTGGTGCCACAATGGCACCACAGTAAGCATTGCAGAAATGCTGTCTTCAGCTGGTGCAAAGGCCCTTTCAGTATCTGCCATGTTTGCAGAGAAGTGTGCACATGTGCCAGAGCAAACAAGTGCGTCTGGTGGCAACCATCGCCAACTGGTTAACAGGAACAAGGAGAAGCAAACCGTTCTTTGCAGACCCCCTTCAGTACATCTGCTGGAGTCAGAGACGACTGCTATTTGAAGGACAGATAAAAACTACTATAGGTAGATGGCAAGCACTGCAAGCTGGAGTCGTTCGACACACAACTCAGCATGCTTAAATTTCCAGAGGGACTTCAACCTGGCCAAGCCTGGCCCCAGCTCAGTGTTCTCTGAAATTCCAATAATGGGAATATTCACTCCTACCAGTACCTGTTTGCAGCACAGAAATCAATAACCAGATGCCAAAGTAGACAGTCAGTTGCCACACCAAACAATCCACTCCATGCTGTGCATCACCTTGGATTTCTATCTGGACCCCCCGCATCATTCCTGCCAGCAAGGTAGTGCCTGCAAGCGCCAAGCAGCCTGCTGCTACCAAAACCTTTAAGTGCCAGTGGTGTACCTACAGCAACAACACACTTTGTTGTGGCACTGTAAAAAGCTAAGGGCACAGGGCATGCAGCACGTGTGGTCCTCATTCCAGTGGAACGTAGTAAAAGGCAGAAACGCAGAGAGAGTGGCACCAAACAGCATGGGGCCCTGCATTTGTCCACTTGGTTGTGCCAGGGAGATGGATAGATATGGTGTAGGCTAGCTCCATGGGACCTACTAATGGCGGCAACATTCCTGTTGGAACATCAGTTGGGGCTCAGGCCAATTCCTGCAAATTATTGATTGATTAATTGATGGACTAATTAGCTAATTATTTATTTAATTAACTACCCATAATCTTTTTTGTTTCTTCTGTGGTCTGCAGCACTTTGTTGCATCCCAAAACAATTTCTATCCGCTGTCACTTACCCGACTGAGAAGAAGTCGCACATTTGCCATGACCACCTGTTGAAAAGGGAACCATTTGTCAGTCTAAAGGCACTTAAAAATGTAATATTTGTGCTCAGGGGTAAGTTGAAAGCGAAAGGCAATGTGTTTGGGCATAAAATTACTCCCCGTTCTTGTTTGCTGAGATTCGGTTCTTATTTTCGGACACCCCAAACCCCAACTACTGATCCACGCACCGGGACTGGCCTTGTCAACGGAACAAGAACCGATTCTCAGCACAGAAGAACGGGGAGTAATACATTCTCATGTGTTTGAGGACATCTGACAAAGCATACATGGCATTGCCCTTCCACGTTCAAAGCATCCACCCAACAACTCCATTCTGCTCAATTTCCTGTTGCGCGTTCAGGTCGAAGGGGATGGGCCATTCAGGGAGTGACTCAAGCAATTGCAATATCCATCCTAAGCTGAATTGGATGGTCTTGGAGACACGTATTGGCATTGCGCTTCCTGCACATGAGCAACAACAGGACGCTCCAACATCTACAGGACTTCCAGCCACAGCAAGGAGTCGTTCTGTGCCAGGAATGAGGGGACGCCAAATGCCACGTATGATACAACACCAAGTCTCACTGCATCTCACCAGGGCCAGTGCGACAGCCAGGGGCGATGGGATCGTGGCGGCTGCTTTGAGACTGGGCTTCCTTTGTGTGGCCCATGGCTGCAACATCGCAGAGAGCGCAAACAATTGGGTAGAATCAGGTAGAGGCAGGGGCACACCGGAGGGGAGCACAGCGAAACCGAAACTTCAGACAAAACACTTATCATCAAGTATTGTTGAGCAGTGCTGTATAGTTGACAATTTTGGCGTTACGCTTTGTTTACCGTATGTTGAATGCAGGCGCGGACGAGACATCTGGCTGCTGCAAAGCAAAACAAATAGTCGGATAGTGGCCGATCCACGGGACGCACGGATGAGAGCACGAACTGACGAAATCGAACATTTGTATTCATAACTGCATTATGCCAAATTACATATCTGGAACTCTAAACGTTTCCCACCCAACACTCAATATGGCATACTGTGCATCACTGCATCATCACAGGAAATGCTGCCATCTCTGCATTATTTCTCATCTTTTCAGTCTTGCCTGCCTGCATAATGCACTGACGCTTGGCACTGAAGGCAGTGGCACACACGTGAATGCGTTAGGGAGCTGCATGGCTCCAACCTGGCCTCACCTGTGGGTCGGTGTATCCTCGTATCCATTCCACATTAAGACTGATTGGTGTGTAGGCGAAGCCAAATTTCTCATTGTTGAACATCATCGTGCCATTGACATACGATGTGATCCCAAAAACGATGTCAATGTCTGTTCGGCCCCCTGCTATGGCATCTAGGAAGGAACCATTAGTCTCTGGCGGATCATCAAGCACAAAGAGGGCGCTTCCTGAGCAGCCTGCAGAACAGCAGTTCCATTGATGCGTTTGAGCCTCAGAGCTTCCTAATAGTGCAACCAACAGCCGCCAGGGGCTCGCGCACTTGTTCAATGCCATGCTGAAAATGTCAAAACCAGTGCAACTGATGACAGCCCTGTGAACATGATCTAATATTAATGAGTTGATGCTCGTGTCCCAATTCAGAGACACCATGGTCTTCCATTCTGCAATCAGGCGGTGCAATCCTAATGTACAGCACTGGAGCAGCTTAAAAGGCATTCCACTCACCGCCCTTAATGACAGCGTCCTCAGAGTATGCACACAGGATGTTTTCGCCCATGCCTGTGAGGCCTCGACAGCCTGTGTTGGCTGTGCTCATTCTAGCCATCTCGAGGCTGTGATTTCCCCATCTGAAGGCCAGCAGCTCCTTGTTGCCAACAGGGAGGAGTGGTTTATCTGCCAGTGTTGGCATCAGCCCAGTGTAGGGCTGGCTTAACTTAAGTATGGCAATGTCATGTCCGTCTGCAACATGGCCTGTCCAATTTGGATGCACGAATGTCTCCTCGACACGAATGATCTGAACCTGCACAACAAGCGCGGGCAATTTGTGAGCATTTTTTTGTCTCTTCCATGCATTTTCTGACAGTGTTTAGGCAGTGTCGAAATGCTGAGAAGTGTGCACCAGAAATGCAAATCCTGCCAGAACAGGGCACAATTTTCAATTCTATGTATGATCGTTTCTGGAACAGCACTCAAAGGTAGGTGATATAGAATACAAGGCTTGGCATTTGCGGCGCAAACGCGTTTCCATTCATGGCTATCTGCACGCAGAATTGGCTTTGACGTAAACAGGAGTAAAAATGGGCAAAAATCGGCCATGTGTACTTAAGAGCAGTACATAGCGACTCAAGGAGTCCGGGAAGTGGTGACTAAACGGGCTGAAATGTGCAGAAAACGGCTTTTTGTTCGACGACGTCGTTGCCCTTGCCGAGGTGAGGTGGGCGCTGCGTTGCTGGTGCTCGAGGGGCTGGATGACTCATCATTGTTTGGGACATAATCATGTAATCTGGGCGGCGTGTCGATGAAACTTAACTATGCGTAAATATGGCCGCAACAATGGTCGCTTCTCTATTTACACGTTTCCACGCGCAAGGACGTAAACGCCAAAATGGAGCGGCAAACGTAAAGACCAAGCCGTGGAACACAGAGCCACCTGCGAAGCTCCAAGCCATGTGGCACGTGCCTCCTGCATGTGGAATGACGGTAACTATTGGAAAGAGGAAAATCATACCCTGCGTGCCAACGAACTTGGCATGCCTGGCTGGCACCTCCACAACACACATCGCAACTGCAAAATGTGATCTAGGTTGTGACACATGACATAAGCAGGAGTCGACTACGGCGCAGAGTCCAGTAGTCCACAGCACGGAAATACTGGATTGAAACCGGGACCAGCGTTTACCTTAGCCGCTGCACGTAAGTCGTTCCCAGCCTCGTGGCCACCAATGTACGCTAAAGGGTTCTTGCCAATGGCATCGAGGCAGTGGGCTGCAGTGACGGCGTAGTACTTTTTGATGACAACTCCCTGGCAGCAATTGGGGGTCACATTACAGTGGAACGTCACCAGAGCTGGAAACCGCCCTTTGGGGACTGGCTTCCACCCAGTCTGCACAACAAGCACAGCACGCAACTGTTGGTGAGCATGGCAAACACATTCCAAACAACTAATTTTGCTGTGTTTGATGACCAGGTCAGCTCTTTAAAACTCCCCGTCCCTTGCCATGTGACAAGGGAGAATCATGTGTGGCCATAGCATGCTAAGAATGCCAATCTGTGGCTGAGAACTCTGTCTGTCAATGAAAGGTGCTTCCAAATTGTGACAGCTGTGCTCTGCAGCAAGATGCATGCCTTCAGCAAGAATCTGCAATTCAGAGCGGAAGCAGGATACAACCCATCGTGCACACACAATCGTGCACAATGGCAACTAATTGGAAAATCCAGGCATGCACCATAAGGAAACATCTTGCATACCCACTTCTAATCCGTGCAATGGACTTATGACACAGGTTGCATACTCCCTTGGAAGGGCTCACCCACCGCGTTAGGATCGTCAGATGGAGTGGGCATCAGATGATTGCTGGAGACTTCTGATACAGCTAGGTCCTTGCTGTTGGACACTTGTGTCTTGCGTTTTGCTGACTCAGTAAGAACAGGTGCCTCTGCAACAACTGCCACTACAGGCAGCACCAGGATTGCCAAGAAAGCAGCTTTGTGATGCATGTCTGCAAGGTCTGCATGGGCAGTGGGATGCAATCAATTCCTGGTCTCTGGCAGCTGGTCAAGCAATCACAGGGCGAAGATCGAAAGGAAAAGCTGATGGACACAGGGGGAGTGCTGCAAGGTATGCGAAGTTCGAGAATACGTTGGCAGAGGTGCAACTGCATTGCTGGCAACTGAATCGCAAAGACACAAGCATTGAACTCAAGGTGGTGCAGTGGTATCTGCGTCTCAGGAGGGCCAATCTCTCTGTCCAGATATTCGCTCATTTTTGCATCCACACTGAAATCGCAGGCCCAACCATGTCTTGCTGACAAGGGGGACAGGTAAGTCCACACTGCAAATGAGCGGGATGGACATTCATTGGACACAAACACAGCAGAGCTTGGAGACAAAGAAGCCGTTCACCATGGCTGCTCAACTCTGCAGCCACCTCTGGCTGTGGCTATGATCGTAGCCAGCTGTGGGTGTCGGACGCCAAGGCACTTCTCTCATGAGGAGTTCCCAGCTCAGACTCTCCTTCCATCCCCGTTGCACCCTAATTTCTGCCCTTCCCCGTTCACATGCACGCAATGTCCTTTCTCCTATTCTGTCGTGTGGCCCAGTTGGACGGCACTGACCCCCTTAAGGGGATCACAGTCCAAGTTATGAGGAATTACAGCATGGTAAGGGGACACAACACCAAACACTGCACGTCATCCTTGCCATCCCATTGTGGGTTGCAGCAGCAGCCAACAGCCTCACAGCGGTCCTACTCCTCAATCCCACTTGCAGGGGTTCCGCTGATACGCGCTTCTTCGGACATTGAGCGGCCGATTGCCCGAAGTGGCCTCGTCGCTCGGGGGCTCCATTTATTGAACCACGCGGTTCCCAACAATTTGACAAGCACACTGGGTTGCGTCGGCCGCACGGCGACAGAATAGGCGCGGACGGCAGGTGGTGAGGGCTGGGGCCCGGTGGGACTCCGGCAGCTCCCGGAGGCAGAGGAGCCTTTGTTCGAGGCCGACGGCGCAAGAACGCGAAACACCAAAAACACGGTCCACCGGCGGGCACTCGTCTCCTGCGGCTCGCACGCCGACAACACCGCCGACGGGCTGGCTAACACCCACGTGGCCCCGCTCAGTAACCGCAGCAGGCTCCGTTCTACATTTGAATATATACATGTGTAGGCGAGGGTTAAACAAGGACCGGGCGCACACGCTGTGGAGACTTGTGGGCAAGCGCGGTGCTTGGCACATTGGAAACCGCCCAGGCGTGAGGACGGCAGCGGCAGCACGAGATCGGGACGCGAGATGGCCGGGCAGGGTAGAGGCGGTCGCCAAAGCGGCAGGAATCGCTCCTCCGTGGGCGTCTGCTGGTCAATGGCGACCTTTGACATGACGCCCGGCCGCACCCACCAACGCCCGCACGCCACTCTGGAGAAACGCCTGCGCGTGCGGGAACGTCGTCCCCCTCCCCCTAGCGGCAGGCGCGCCGGGTGAATGCGAGCGCTGCGCTCTCCGTCCAGGGTTGCCGCAGCACTTCGATCAGAACCACCGCTGACATGGGCACACAGGGCGTGCACACAACCAACATCACACATCCGACAACTCTGGGCTCATTCCACGCAACGTGGAGTTCAGGCGGCGGCCACCAGCCCTCCCGGCACCGGCGGTGGTGACGGGGGCGACGGTCCCCGCTTGGGGTTGAATGCCCGCCCACGTGGCGCCCGCGCCCGGACACTGTGCAAGACCAGACGGCCAGCACGCTCAGAGCCTCGCCGGTTGGGCACAAGACAGGCAGGGCGGTGACGGCTCACGGCCTGCGCGGCCAAGGCAAAAGATCGCGGGGGACGAGCCGTAAACGAGTGTGGGCAAGCAGTGCGGACGAGGGGGGGGGGCGCTGGCCCGCAGGCACATAATCCGCATCCTCTCCTCTGGCCGGGACCATGAGGCGTAGTCCAGCAGGGGATCGTGCGCGAAGCCCCACGGCAAACTGAACGCGGCGGCCGGCCGCGCCGGAATGGCACGCTCATCCCCGCCCGCCCTCCCGCCCCGGCCACTGACCCTGATGGCAGAGTGTTTTCAGCACCTTGTTCGGAGGCAGAACGCGCGAGAAGCCTGCCGCGATCCCCAGCCTATCTGATCGCGTGGGGGGCGCGACCTGGCCACACCAGACGGCCAGCGCGGAGTGAGCTAGGCAATGGAATTCGAGCGACCACCGGTGACCTCTACTCACCGCGGGCGCCCGCGAGTTTGTCGGTGCTGGCGCGTCCGATGCCTGGCCTTCCAGCCGTGCCTGTTGCAGACCTGTCCGGCCCTGCGGCAAGCCGCGCGTAACGCTGTCAGAAGCACTTGGCGCTGCCCTCCAACCGAAGCCTTCCGCCCACCGACCCTGGGCGAGGTCGAGGTCGGCTGGCGAGAACAGGTTGAGCCACCGAGGTTGACCGTCAGACTGATAACTAGGTGACTAATGGCCACTAAAAGTTGAAGGACATAATGGGAGCATCTACCAGAAGCGCTTGCAGATGGTTCAGCCAGCGTCCGCTGGCCCTGCACCAGGGCACAAAGGATGGCCCCCCTTTGCGAGGGGCTCCATACTCCCCATAAGGGATCCTGTCCACAGCAACCTGGCGCCCCCAAGGGAGGACACTCGTGGAGCATAGCCGCGTTTGGCAACAATACGTTGTTGGCCTTGCCACTAACGGACTGGAAGTTTTCGTCGTCGGGCGATGAAACCAGTCCTAAAGCTTTAAACCACCCGCTGTGGACCTGCCCCCTTGCCTCGCAAACTCAACGCATTTTCTGCGACACGCAAAACCACGCGCCCCAACACAGTAACGGTGCAGAGTGCACGGGTTGCACGCCGATGCACTGCGGCGATTTCAAACGGTAAGGTCCACGGCGGGGATGTCGGCCCGCTGACTTCTTTGGACACGCGCAGCAGAGCCTCGTTTGTGTGGCCAGAAAGACACACACGAACAGCGCGGTGTTGCACGTGTCCGCGACGAGGCACGGTGGGATGTCAGTGGACGGCGGTTCCAACGCTTCGCCGAATGGAAAGTGGCTTCCGGGGCGCTGCCTCGCGGGCCGGCACCGCAAAGCACTCACCCAGGCGGCGTCCTCGCTAGCCCCACGCATCGCCTGCGCCAACCTCAAGCCGGCCACCAATCCCGCCGCTTCCTGGAACCGTCGCCACATCCTCCAGAATCCTTCGGGCCGCAAACTTCTGATACACCCTGACCCACGAGCAGTGCTGTTGGCCTTGGGCCCATCCCTGGCGTCGGCTTGCAAGCCACATTCTGATCGCCGCCTTCAAGGCGCTCGCTGCACTTTGATCCGAACCGCGGCCTCCACTCCGGGAGAACCCAAACGCCGCCCGTTCTGCCAGCACCACGTTGCACCAACAATGTTGACCGTCGGCGCGCCAGCCAACGGCGGGCAGGACGCCTCGCGGTCGTGACCCAGCCGCGTGCGGCACCCCCGATCGGATGGGGAGACCAAAGAGCGAAGGAACGTCTCCCACTTCCACCAACAGTTGAGCTCCAGGAGCAGCCTCTCTTGCGCAGGCAGGCCGCAGGGCTTGGCACTCGAAAGCTGCGGATAGCACTGCTTGATGGCCGGTGGTCCACGATCAGGACCAATGAACTGACTATTACCTGTACACATGTCCCTTCCTCGGTTTGAACGAATCCCGGGGGCCGATTGAGTACCGGCCCTCTCAACTCTCTCCGGCCCACTAATCCCTGTGTGGCAGGCCTGGGCTTTGCACGAAACAGTACAGACGCGCCTGCACCTGCGCCTTGAAGGAATGAAGCAAAATGCAATCCGCCAGTTTAGTGGACACCGGCAACGTGGTGGTCCACGGGAAGGGACGCTGGCTGGCAGGGTGGCTGAATGGTACACCGCTGGGAAGAACCGTCGGTTGGCGGCGCTCTAGGAATATGATATGGAGCCAAAGGATTAGACACAAATCCCAAACGACGGTGTCCCTTTAGTGCCAGGCCGTCTTCCAGTTCATTCGACATGAGAATGTCACGGCAATGTGCACGTCAGGAGATTTGGCAATTGGAAAAGATCGCCGCATCCACACACTTTTTAATACCTGCACCCAAAAGCAGATTGAGGTAACACTATTTGGTCCCGTTCTGACATGGGCTAGGCTGCAAATGCGCGACTTGCCAATTTAGCACTGCTCAAACACGGTCTAAAACTGTGCAAATGGGCAACATTTTGCCGGTGAAAAAGAGACCGAAGGCTTCTCAGCACAGGAAAAGATGTCAAGCAATTGCCTCCTAATGTTTGTATTTGCGGCCATACCCTTCAAGGCGTCTTCCCTACACTTATTTCATTTTCCAGCACATGTGAATACGCGATCAGTTGATCAGATTGTTCGTTCAAGTGGCCCGTTTTCACGTAACTTCAAATCCTCAGCTCTTTTGCCTGAATGCTACAATTATCGGAGTTTCAACGATTAGCTAGCATTTCCCTTCATTCGGTAAGGCCGCTGTCCGTCATGCATTAAAAAACGCAATAGAAAACAACATGCATTCTTGCCGCGACTGCCATGCACAATTCCCTGCTGGGACCTGAATTCGCGGTTGAGCCGGTGTTCCGAAATCACCATGTCATTCAGATATGCACAGAAAGGGCTCAATATTGCTGAGGGACAAAAAGAGATTACCCAACAAGGTTCTCGGGTACCACAAGCAAAAGTTTTATACGTGGAATTGGGCAAACACACTTTGCAGGAGTGCTAGGTCACAGCATGTCCCCTTGCAACTCATTCAAGAGCGATATAAATGGTGGGCACGCAACACCGTGCGATTCACCTTTGAATGGATACAAAGTTGTCATTTCTTTCTCTCAATCTCCTAACCCCATTCTTAGTAAACCCTCCCAGTTTCCACTTCAATTATCAGTTCTGCAAGCCTGCCTCCCCAATTCACACGGAATACGTCATTACCATTCAGTCTTTTTTTATCCAATCATCAAACTTCCCCTGAAACGTATCGACACGCAAGGACATCCTTACAGAGCTAAAATACAGTGACGGCATTGTCATTTGATAAGCTTCACCTTATATTTGGAGAAATGTTTAACCCTGGGCTTGGCGCGGCGGCCCCTCCTCAACCAGGGCTCGAGCCACCCCTCAACCTGTCAACCAGCCTGGTGATTGCTCCAGCCAGCCTGATGTCATCCACACCCACATGAATTACAGGTCAACAATCCGTGGCTCCAAATCCTAGTACATTTCATACTTCTCGTTTAACTGGTTTGGCCTATGGTGAAGCAATCTATGTTTTGACTGCATTTGCACACCACATTTAATGCTTCGGTAGGCGCCAGGATCTCAGGGAAGCCTCGATATGATCTATCAAATTGATGACTTGATCAGCGGTCACAAAACCATGTTCTCTCGCTTCTTGTTCCTTAGAGCTGACGATGTTGAAACATCGGCTGAATCCCTGTCATTTTCTAGTTCTCTTGCACCATCTTCGCCTTAAGGGTAGCCGAGCTTCTCAGCAGATTACTTTCATCCACTGTCATCATAGTTGGCAGCCCCAACAATGTGCAGTCAGGTATATTGCAAAGCCATACGTAACATACAGATCACGTGAGGCGAACTGGCTTTGGAACTATCAGGAGTGCAGCAATTTGAAAGCTCTCCGAAGGAAGTTCCTAAAGAGAGTCGGCTTGCTGTACTCGGCGTCATGTTGACACCAGCCCCATCTCATGAGCAATCCTATGCCAATGCCAGCATGTCTCAGGCTGAGCCATCCAGAACCAATATCTGACATCCCGACACGACGCTTCGCAACAGAACAGGAAGCGCGGTCCAGACCGTTGGTGCAAGTCCCAAGCGAGGCGTTGACCCAGGGTCAACAACGCGACTTAGGTGAGGGGCACTCCAGCCATATGCATTGGCTGTGGAGTTGCTTGGACGATCCAGGCCGCGAGTTTCGCCCCCTGCTGGTGGTCCTTGGCTTATGCCACAACCGTAGATTACTCTAGTTCAGATGTGCTACGAATCGTAGCATCGTAGCCTACGATGCGCAGCACTCATTGGTTGCTCTTGGGAGAACGTTAGGACAAGCAATAATTATTTGTTCCTTTGTAAGGTTCGCAACTGCTTCGTGCAGGTTGAGAGCCAAGCCTAATTTACTGATGATGACGGTCATCATCAGTTTTGCACCTGTTTTTGATTGGAACTCGTCAATGGGTACAGTAGATCAGTCGATTGGCTATTGCAGGTTGTGGGGATTGCCTTGGACGCGTTTTTGTCCCCTTCTCAGCTTGCGCCTGTTTTGTGACAAACACGAAATTCTTGAGCATCACAAGGCCCCTTTACCCCCTTCCTCACCCCAAGCGTCAATTCGATGGACGCTTCTTAGCGTTGCATATGGACTAGTTTCTAAGGAAGAAACTTCTTTCAGCAAATCACGTGCTCCAGAGACACATGCAGGATTGCCCAGGATACTGGAGCAAACCCTGCTGCGCCATCCTGCCCCCTGACAGCTCGTTAACATCTGATGTACATCCCATAGCAGCTCCTGGTGTCAGAAATTCCTTGCGCCAATTTGCGCAGGGCAGTGAGCTTTCTCAGTCCATTGTCCAGATGTTCCAAACACCTGGATAACGCTGGTGCTGTGGCCCTCCAGGAGTCTGCAATACCAAGGGCAGTACGTTTCGCGGCTACAACGAAGCGTCTCAACGGGCACTGCCTTCGCAAAAACCAAGTGCACATCCCACGTAGTAAAGTCTGTAACAACCCTTCTGAGTGCCAAATCCGAGGGAGGTTACAGGAAGCAAGAAACCTCGTGTGCCACCCTGGCAAGCGCAATCATTCCACAGGGCACTGCGGAAAGGAAAGCTGACAGAGTTCAACAGCGTTTCAGTTAGGCCTTTAAGCCCCACCATCCCATGCTCCCCCGATCCAACATGACGGCGCTCTACAATCAAGGTGAATACCGAGCGTCAGCATGCTCTCCCCCGGACACCCAACAGGTGAGGCAATCAAAGGCAGAACTGAAGCATACGTCGAAATCTCCGCTGCATATGTGCCCTCAAAGATCGAGCGCTCGGCCCGGAACCAGCAATCTTGCTTCATGACGGGACGTCAAGTGGTAGCTAAAGCTGCAGCAGTTGAGCCGTTGCAGTCCTTGTTCCTTGGCCATTATTCGCCAACTTGCTCAGCATACAGAGGATGGAGGGCAGTTGAGTGTGTGCGCCTTTTAGAGCTACCTCTGCAAGTGGCAGCGACATTCCAGATTACCCGCTGGTTAAACAGATTCATAGCCGCGCTGCACTATGCATAGCCTTGCGGAGCCCAGCAATCACATGAGCCAAAAGCTGACAACACTCTCATCCCAATGTACACATGCATGCACGTTGGCATGTACGCATCTAGCAAGCGTCCTGAGCAACATAGCCACCGCAAAACAGAATACACATGTCCAGCTCGCAGCCCTTGACCTCCTCGGGCTCACAAGCCCATCCTCCCTCAGCATTGGTGCAAACGTTCGAAAAAATTTCGCCTACATCACGATCAGCAGTTGGAATGGCATGCACTAATATACGCCGGACAAGATGTCCGCGACAACTGAGTCGGAAAACTACCCTTCAGCACGTTCACAGCAACGGGGAAAACAAGCCTGCATCTATTCCAGACAGCATTTGCGTCCCATCGACCACAGTGACATCATTGTCCTGAAAGGTGCCCCACCTTTCCTTCCATGGGATTCAGACCACGCACATGGTCCTTCACCTTCCTGGCTGAGTTAAAATATACAATGAATCTATAGAATATTTAATTGAACAAGCATTCCAACCTCTGGACGCCGCCTATCAGAACATCGGAGTGCCTGCTCAACAGCTGTTTGCAGCTCGCAGAGATCGCCTGCCTCTCACTGCAGCGACGGACAAAACTTGAGATTAGTAAAGGGAAATTAAGATGCGATGTGGTGAGCTTCAAAAGGCCAGTGACGCACAGCCTGTGCCTGCATGTGACTTACGTCTTCATGCTGACGCCCCGTCGAAACGACTGGCGGCCTGGTCTCCCGATATTGATGACGGGCAGCGAAGAACACACATGCGAAGACAATGCCCATGCAGAAGGCGGCAAGGAGCCACACGGTCGCAGGACTGGTGGCCTGCAACAGAATGGGCATCACACAAGCAATGTTTCAGAATCCCAAGAATTTTTCTATCACATTAGTCACTGTGCTATGCAAACTATTCATGCATTCGCAGCACTGAGCCCATTTCTATCAATGACGGCTCTGCTGTTTGCAGCAAACGTTCCAGTCCAGATATGGGTATGTGGATCCTGACATCCCGCTGGTGTTTAGTGCAGACAAGATATGAGAACTACAAGTCTTGAAGGCAGCGACCAAGTTGCTGCTTCCCCATCCAGGATGAATGTGCGCATTTGCCCCAAGTTCTCGGAGAATTCACACAGACGGTAGAAGTTACAGCATCAGGCACGCAAGCACGTTCAAATTGCAGAAAGAGCAAGCAGGGTGCACACGCATTGCGCCAAACCACTTCCCAAAGCACCCTTATCAGCTCAAACTTGAATCTGAGTATGCACTCAGTTGCATTCACTAATATTATTCGAGCATTCCATAGGATCGTCTACTGTCCACACTCTAGCTCACATGCTCCCTTATCTTCACATGTTCTCTTCTCATGTTCCCTTCCCTTCACATGTTCCCTTCTCAAGAATGGCAATGTGGGCAAAAGAAATGAGCGCCACCTACCTTGGGGCCTTTAATCACGCTGTCAATCCAGGATCGGCTCGTCTTCAGGAGGGCCACTCCCACACCACTGATGCTGTCCACAACGCTTCTGTTGTTGCAGGAGACAACGCCCACAAGCAAATCCAGCATCGGGAATTTCCCATCAGCACTGGCTGTGCCAATATCAAAAACAGATCTGCCAGGTTCCAGCACAGGTCCACCAGAAGATCCTGGGAAAATGCCGGCATTTCATGCCCTCAGGCTATATCAGACCACTCAACGACATGACAGGAACAGCAGCAATCCTGGAAACTGCACACTTCTGAGCAAATTTGTTATCACCATAGTTCATTCCCAAGCAGCAGCAATGCAATGCAGTTCCTTTCAGTGCCCTGTACACATACTCCAGACGTTCTGCTGATATCACAATATGAGTAAGCAAGCTGGCACAGCCACAACACTGTGCGTGTATCACGACTTCTCCTGATGCCACACTGGACTAGCCACCTTGTTGACATTTTCATAGACACTGCCCTCTGAAGGATGCCACTACCACACAATGCGAGAATGTGTGGCAACCAAAATGTTGTAGCCAAATGTGCAAATGTGCTATTGTGTTCAACGTGTGAAAATCTTCAATGTGCGTAACAAACAAAAATCGCAGATCAGTGCATTGTGTTTTGAAGCAGAGAGACACCATCTGGTAAATACGTGTGCATTGGGTGGGGTCATGCTTCACCGATGGCGAAATATTGTGCTACAAGTCGATCTTGCACTGCACACATACCAGGCACCATGAGGGCCTCGTGTGAGTAGATGCAGAAACAAGGCGCTGGCACCGTCAAATTGGGGCAACGACCATTCTCAACAGTCGTGAATAAGGCCATCTCCAAAGATTGGCCCAGCCAGAAGCCAAGAAAATTCTTGCTGCCATGAACCTGCTTGTAAGTGGAGGAGTGTGCAGCGAGAACTGGCGATTCCAAATCCACAGACTCTTGCAAGTGAAACAGAACCAAATCGTATGCCATCTGGAAATCCCCCTCATTTCCTTTCCAGTAAGGGTGGATTATGGCATCCTTGGCTCTGACCACCTGTTGGTGCAACATGAGCAAACTGTCAGCCAAAGAACATCGATCCACCAGGCTACTACAACGCACCAGGGAACAACAGCCAACAGCAACGAAGTTCATTTGGCATGATTCAATCCAGTTCGATGTACATGTCGCAGTCCAGATTAGACGATTCTCAGCAATTGCCACTGGTCAAGAGAGATGGAGTGAGCTGAGTAAAAATTGGTAACTTTGTTTCACCGGTATGAGGAATGATCTAGTATGCTGCAGTACTAACTACCGCCACCGTCACCATCAAGGCTCCCCCTTGCAATGGAGGAGTCTTTTCAATCATTTGAACACCTCCTGTCACTGAGTACAAGTAGAACCACCAACAAAAGTGTCTCATATACTCAGAGCCAAAATGAAATGCCACTATTTCTTTCTGCACACTTGCTTCTACCAAACAAAATGAATCACCTCCCAAAGCCTCTGTTTATTCACACCTGCCAATGCAAAATTCCACGTGATGCGGTGTTTTCCATCCACAGTTGCATATCTGTGCCAACAGCGCCCAGTGATGCTTTGCAAGCCAATCTGTCTGGCTACATTTGCAAGCACCCTGGGCACGTTGACAATGAGAAACGCTCCCAATCGGCCATCATAATTGCGACTGGTGAGTTCAACTGTCAGCTCCATAGAACAGCAGGTGACACAAAACTCACAACAATTGCAACAGACTGCAGACCTCAAATTCAAGGTTCCGCTTTTCTTATCTGAGGCTGCTGATTCGTCGGAGACTTGTTAGCAAAGGACAGACACAATCCCTTTTAGTGATACACCATGGTGTCCATTTCACCACCCCAACAACAACGTACCCTGGTTCCTTCCCCCGACAACCCAAGCAGCATTATTGGGTTCGCCCCAACTGCTGTAGTACAATGTGCAGCAGACAGCACATATTCTGGGTGGATCAATGTCCCAAGGCATGTGTGCCCCCGGTGGGCATCCAAGATGCTGACGACCCATGGGAACCTGCCCTTTGGTGTGGCCGTCCATGTGTTCTGGCACCACATCGTGCACATGTCAAAATCATGGACGTCACAGCACACTGCAAGAGGACTTACACAATGCATTTTGATCTGCAGCAGCATACAGCACACGCCATAACCATAGCACATGCTCACGTCCACAGCATTCTTCCTGCACCCCAGCGGGCTGCAACGGGTATCAGGTGTGCGCATGTGCTAGTTTTGGAGGCGAGCAGTGGTCCACAGCATTGTGTCCTTCACAGCCCAACCAACAGTGAGAGGTGCACATGGTGGAGGCAAGGGGCTTGATAAGGTGGGTGCAACCCGTACAGATTGCCCAAGTAGCCTCGTCCCACCAGTTGAGAAAATGTGTTGACGGGCGCCACCTCGCTGGTGTGTTCCACAACAAGGACAGGTGCATTTAACGACATGGACCATAGAGAAGTGTATTTTTCAACATGGACCAGAGAGCGCCCTAAGGCGATTCAAAATAGCGATTGGCGCACCAGGCTCACGGCATCGTCGCCCTGCGGCTGCTGCACATCGCTGCTGGCCTTGATCTCCGGCTTGACCTCTTCTATCGCATCTGCAGGCCGCACGCCTTCCACGCCGGGTACCCGGGGAGGGACATCCGCGGAGTGGCCAGAGCCCTCCTTAGCCATGGTCTGACCCACGGCCCAAAGCAACGAAAAGAGAAACAGGAAAACTTCCATTTCGCCCGTGATCGAGCCCCTTAGGTAGGCGTTTTCTGGGCAGCGTCGCCCCGGCCGAGCCTTTGTCTTCCTCCCTACAAAGGTAGAGCTCCCTTTGGAGTTGCGGGTTGACATGCTTAGACATACAATGACCCTGCGCCACCACAAAACTCCGTCAATCTCACGCCCTCCCGGCCCCACGGGTACGCTGTCGCCACACAGCAGAGGCAACGCAGGCACGCAGCGGCCCGCCGGCATCCGGGTGGGGATTCGGAACTATCGCCGCGGCCACGCGGGCGTTGACATCTCTAACCCCAATCAAGCGAGTCATCCACCAATCCTGTTGACGTCCGATTCTAGAAGGCCTGCGCCCACAGGCAGGGCTTCGCGACGACCCCGCATGTCTGCGCTGGAGTCGGAACCTCCAGCACGCAGGGGTTAGACAAGCGGGGCTTTGGCCAGCGCGCCCACACGTGGGCACCCTGCGAGCAGCAATTGGCTCTCATCCCCACCACCCCAACCCCCACACCCATTGCCGGGGATGCACCTGGGCACGCCCTCCGCCGAAGCGCGAGGCTCGCAAAGTGAGGGACGCTTGAGGAGGCGGTACAGCCCAGGGAGAGCGGGACCTGGGTGCAGGTGGCGTCCAGTGCAGCGAGGAAATAATATTACTGCCTGCACCAAATCGGTGACTGCTTGCACCAGGTCACGTGCACACTTTGTCCTAACCTCAATTTTAGGGTTAGGTTTAGTTTCAGGGTGAGTTTTAGGGTTAGGGTTAGGGTTAGGACAGGTTTAGGTTTAGGTTTTAGGGTTTAGTTTTTAGGGTTTAGGTTTTAGGTTAGGTTATAGTTTGGACGGAGTTGGACATGATGTGCACGTGACTTGGTGCAAGCAGTCACCGATTTGATGCAGCCAGTAATGTTATGCCCTGGTACCGGTATGGCCGCCATTGTGTGGGCCGTGGATCAGCGGATCTGATCATTAAGTGGATCAGTGGATCAGTGGATCAGTGGGTCCACGGAAGCAGTTGTAGCGGTTGCTGCTGCCCCGTCAGCTTTGTGTCGCCACGGGGCATTACAGGTACACTTTTGAGGTACACTTTTGAGATGAGGTGAAGGTCAGGGGGTGGGAGCGACTCTCTCAAGGCGACGCCCTGCGCATTGCTGCAAGACTCATCACGCGTCGAAAACGGTGCAAGCTCCAACAACGTGGCTCCGGTTACTCTTGTGCACATGGGGGAAGAAGGGTTTGCACGCCAAACAATAGCATCCCTGTTGAGAGACAGCCCGCTTGTGCGTACGCACTGTGTCAGAATACACGAGAATTCATTGGGGGAATATTGTTCAATTATGCACTATGGTCACAGGTAGTCGCAAGATTTTTCAGATAACCGATATTGGCGCAAAACCTTGAGACCACTTATGACCACAGTAAACCATGCGCATTTGCCAGTCTTGCAAATGCTGTGCCGGGCTGCAGGTTCACGAAATGTGGTCAACAGTCGGTGCCTCTGATTAGGGACATTGAAAATTGGCCGACAGTGTACAGGAAAATGCACAAATGATTGCGGTGTCCAGGAGCAGAGCGCCACTCGCATACTTGCTGAATGGGTGTTCCGCTGGCGACGCCCTCCCAACAACGGTCAACGCGCGCGGGCCAAAGGTTCTGGTGGCCGTGGCTCTCGACTGTGCAAACTGCCGCTGGTTTGCGTTTCTGTTCAACGCCTACCTCGTGTATGCTATCCCTTCGTTGCCCATCGCGTCACCCCGCCGGCAGCCGGGCCAGAGGGCGCCCTCTGCTGAAAGCATTCATGCACGCCCGATCGTTGACTTGGCCCAACCCGCCTGACCTTCATCTTCGTTGAACCGGTTGGCCGCTCTCAGCCTGGCCTGGCCAGGCGTACTCCTCCCGAGACGCCGTGGCCATTCTCCGGCCATCGCCAATCGGAGAAGCCTCCAGACCCGCAGCACAGCGCACGCTGTGGTTCAGTGTCTGCCTCTGCCGCCGTCAAACCACCAACGCCCCGCTGACGCACTCTCCAGCTTTGCACCAAGGGCATCCGACAGGAAGCGGGCCAAACTCCGGGCCCCCGTGGGATCCCCCATCGCCGACTTTGAACGCGGCCTGCAGCTGTCGGCAATGCACACTGCCGCCCAGCAGCTACCCATACTCGCGGAGCGCCATCCTACTCGGAAAAGTTGCGCCCGCCTCCCCGCAGTGGACGCCGGCCGATCCCATTCACCGGAAATGTGGCACTGGCCCGGACCCAACTGGGGCTGTCGGTGCTGTGGGGCATGCTTCTCTGCTTGCGCGGGCAGCTCCATCGCCAGGGCGCCTGGCGCGTCCACCTTTTAATGCCGGCTGACGGCCGTTGGTTCGCCCCTTTGAACGGTGGTGGGCTTCGGCGCTGAGTCGCTGGGGGCCATGTGGGAGCTTGGCCGCGGACGCCCGGTGTGCCTTGGTGACCTCCGTTCGCTTCCAACACACATCGGAATCGTCGGAGGTCGGCAACACGTGGCCATTTGGGGGCGCTTCGTTAAGGTCCTTCGGCAAAGTACGCCCCCCAAAGTGGCTGCAACACAACGCCACAGATGGGGCAGGCGGGACAAGGCAAATTTCGAGTTTGGCCATGGGCCAATGGAGATGTTGAGAACGAAACCCGATCAAGAGACAACAACGTCGATCAACAGAAAACACTCCCGCAAGATGCGCACCACTGTGCTCAGGCTTGCACCAAAAAAGCACTCAACGTGTTGCGGAAGTTGCGTCAGCAGACAGAAAGAATGAGGTCTTTCCTTGCTAGAAAACGATGCGCCGCAAGATCCGTTTTGGAGGCCAGATCGAAATCCAGTCCCCAACGCGACTGCAAGGGTGCCTTGCCAGGGACGCGAGGCAAGCCCATTTTGATTTCTCAGTTTGGTTCCGTGTCGGAAGAAGAATACCTGATGCTCTTGTTCCAGCGTTCCGTCAGAAAAATGGGTAACATTGATGCTGCATTGTACCTACATTGCCACGATGCCCTGCCCAGAAACGCTCTCTAGAAGAAAAAGGACCAAACAGCACTTTTTGCAAAAACACATATATGCATTTCATCAGTGTTCTGCATGCCAAAAGCACGAAAATAACCCAAACCAGTAATCTTTGTACACGCTTGAACACGTGTTATTTGGCCCTTTTTTCCCTAATGGCTTCAGCAAACACCCATGCATCGGTATTGACAAGAACTGATGCCACTGCCAATATTGCGTCAATGCTGATACACTGGCCTTGCTGCGAAATTGTCGGTGTTGCATCAGTGACACTGCACACAAGCAGTCGCTTCGATTCTGCCCAACTTGCAGATGCCATTTGAAATTCGGGATTACCGCACATTCAAGCGTGTTCAAATGCCACAGACTGAAGATCCCTGGCAGTGAATGGGCTCCACGAATGCAAATCACGAACGCAGGGTTTCAAAATCCTTCAAAGAATGTGCGCCGCAGAACACTGCAGAAACGTACAGCACGCCCGTATGTAGCGTGAAGAATTTCTGTTGTGCCACACCGGCCACTTCTTCCTCCACTGGTTCGGCGGCCGTCCCAGAGTAGCACCCGGAAAAATCATTGTCATAATCAACTGACCGGAAATAGAGGAACACCTGAAGAACATAAGCACCACGGTTTTCCTGGAATCTATGAATCCCATGTAAACAAACAGCCCCACATATTGCAGCCAGAATGAATCAAACCGCAGGCTACCATTTGAGCAGTAAACTGCGTCTGCCCGTCACCCATGAGCTGTCCAACAACCCCTACTGAGTCGCAAAAAATTTGAGACCTGAAAGCTCACAAGTTCAAAGACAAGCACAATCATTTCAGTGCCCACTGCAAAAAAAGGCTGCACCTGCCATTACTTTAGCGAGGTCTTGAGACAGATGCTGCTTGCTCTTCCATAGTTCTGACACAAGGTCATACTAAAAGTGAGTCGCCACCCACAGCGAGTTATGCTCCCCAAACAACCACAAGGTTAGAAAAACATCAGATAAACAAGCACCAGCGCAAAGCGCCTCCAAAACACGCCCAACGCCTTCATTGCACAGCCAGAACTCGAGCTCCTTGCTCTCATCCCCTGCAACACCCCCCCAAACTTAGAAAAGAATCTAGTGCTCTAAAGACATGCCGAATTTGCCCTGCGCCCGGTGTGAGGAGACATTCATGGATCTCCTGAAGCAGTTGATGCCCATCGGGGCCATCATTTTCAGGCGAACAGCAGGCGGCTGGCCACAACCTCCGTAAATGGCATCATTGTCCCAGACCATCTCCATCGGACAAAATAGATCCACAGCTATCACAAACTACAAATGGCTATTTCTTGCACGCTCATCTCACACATCAAAAACTCAAGACGTCATGAGCTTTTGAATGCATCTCCATGTCCACATGTACAGAAGCATGTGCACTGGACCAGACCACAATAGCCAGCGCAGCTCACGACTCACAGAACACCCCATTCCTCCTCCCAATACCCAATCTAACTATGTCGTAGATTCAGCCATAGTGCCCCAACTCGACTAGCTTGCACATTATTTTCTGATGTACAAATGCAAGACCCAACGGCTCCAAAAAATGGATATAAGCAAATGCCCCATGTAGCCTCACATAAAACAGAGACGCTGGGAAATGGTGGTAGTGCACATGTCCCATAATTTTTTTTCACCCCCTCCCCCCTTTGCATTTCCTTCTGCTTGCAAAAATTCATTAGTTATCTGAGTTCCTTGTCCAGACATCGGGAATGCAAGTGGCCTGCATCATCCAGGACAGGGTACCAATTCCATTCGCTGGACGTCCCGCCAGCATCGAAGATACCTCCCGCCACCTCTCACAGAGCTGTTGTCCTCCTCACTGCAGCATCAAACAGCGAATGCAGTCAGTGCAGTAATGGTGAAACGACACAATGACTGCCATTACCATAGTATGTTGAACCTTCCGCATCAAACAACTTTACGGCTACACATTCTGTCCGCACTTTCTTCAGAGCGTTGCTTTTATGTTTTACGTTGCCGCGCAAAAATTCTAATAAAAGACCATTCCCTATTTTCTTGCTTTCTCTGCAAAAAAAGGCCAATATTTGCATTACTATGCGGGAGGGCTGAATATACTACGGTACGCACCCACCAAATCTTAGCACTTGACAGCAACTTCCGTTCACATGGTGGTGATGCACCGCTGCCAATATGCGATGGCCGCAGACCATGAAGAGCACCCATGCCACAGCAAGTCCCAAAGAGAACACGAAGATGAGTGTCACAGTAGTGACGCCAGCCTGCAAAAGGGAGCAGAGTGCACATAAGGCGATTAAAGTATGTGCAGACATCTGTTGGCACACTGGCAGGAACACAGGTTGATGAACATAAGCGAAGGGTATGTTTCTGTTCTTGAGACTCATGGTTTATACACAGAAGCGGAAACTTTCCAAGCTTCTAAAAAGCGGAAGAGATGATGCACACCAATCATTCAGCTGTTGAAAACATGTAGAAGCCAAGAATCTTACTTGAATCTGATGGCCAAACTCCAATTCAGAGCAGAGGCATCCATTCTAATATTCAAAAGGCCTGAACTGGTGATGTCCTTCTGCAACATCAGTCTCTTCAACACCCCACCCACCTATCCTGCCAGGAAAGAGTTGAACATAAAACTGCAAGAATTGAAGTGGACAGGCCATCACCTGGGAATTTATCTCCCTGTCAATCCACCATCGGTTCTTGTCCACGGGTGTCACGCCCACACCACTGTTTGCAGCAGACTGATTGTTGCCGGAAACGACACCAACAAGCAAGTCAAGCTCTGCAAAGATCCCTTTGGTAGGACCTGTGTTATCAAGGGGCCAATCGGAGATGAGCACAGGGCCCCCTGACACTCCTGGAAGACAGCAAGCAAAAAACGCCCTCAGTTCAACGTTTCAGGGAATTTGGCCTCCCTGCATAATATGAAATCCATATATACAACCCAAGCACTGCCATGCTTCTTGGAAATGCGTCCTTGTTGCGGCTCTCCCCCAACCAAAGCAAAAGCAACTGGGCTAAAAAGAATACCTGTATTTCACATACATAATCCATACCACATGCACGCACGCATGCACCCCCACTCCATCCCACCCCACCCCACCCCCAAACCCAACCCCACACCCACAAACCCACAACTCCCACAACCCCACACCCACCCACCCACACACCAACCCCCCACCTCAACCCACCCACTCCACACACACTCACATAGAGTACACAATGCATAAATACATGTACTACCTCAATTTCTAAAAATCATACCATTGTATTACCATTTTATTGATGTAGCTTTGCAAAGACCACTTCAATTAGTCAACCTGTCAACAGATATATTAACACCTATCTATCACTACCGCATACTTCTGCGTACGTTTATGTTTGTCATGACGAGCTATCTATTTGTTCATTACTTATTACTTTGCAGTTAAAATATGACAAGTTATGCAATCTTTGCAGTCCTCAACACCATAATTACAGGTTGCCATAATTGCAACCATTTATGACAATGACCATTGTTCACCAGCTTGAGATTATGCCAAGGTAATATCATGCCGTGCCCGGATAATCAACGTTGCATAGCGCACACACGTACCGGCTTCCATCCTGGCATCCTGTGAGAAAATGCACAGGATCCCTGCTGAGATCGTCACATTGGGACAAAGATGATTCTGAAGGACCTTGAACTGGGCAGTCTGCAGAATCTCCCCGTCTTGATGTCTAAAGCCAAAAACATTCTGGTTGGGACGCACTTCTCTGGGTGTGAAGGGTGGGCCAAGCGCAGCAAGCGTTGGGAAGTTCACATGCACTCGCTTCTGCAGATGAAGCAGAGCCAAATCGTACTCCGCATGCAATCCACCTTCCTTCCACTTTGGATGGATCTTGCTGCCTTTTGCCCTCACAACCTGGGAGTGCGTCAATGAGAATCAATGTGTGAATCAATCACGTAGGCTGAGGCACCTCAAAATAGCCATGCAGCCCTATGGCACATATGGTATATACTTCAATATACTTCAATACAGGCTAATCCACCACGGTGCCGTTGTGGTTCCATTGTAGCTTCTCAGCATCACTTTTGCGCCACCCTGCTATTGTGCTACACGAATGGGTTGCAGGTCCTCATGCATCGACTGGCCACGTGAACACCTATCCACTGAGTTACTTTAAGTTGGGATGCCACTGCTCTATATCGACATAATACAGAGCTCCTGGTCTCATCAGTTGTTGTACTGCCCTTGCATCGTGCAAATGTTTACCCAAACTACCAATGCACTTTGTACCTGTGCGGGCAGGTGACCACTGCTGTGAAATACACCACTGTGAAATCTCCGGCAGCGCTCAAGCATCACGGCCCAGTGATTTGGACTTCAATGCGACCTCTGAGCAGCTTTGCGCCAACAATCCTCCTCCCAACCGACTGGCCAGCCAGCCATCGTCTTGGTCACTGTCATATTCTTGCAACTGGTATGGGTACCCATAAGCTGGCCCAGTCATTTATGAAGACAGCAACAACCCCCAACAATTGCCACCAACTTCGCAGCTTGCAAACTGAAGAAGGAATTCAAAGTTGTGGACGTGTTGATTGACTTGCTGGTGTGGCCCAGAGATATCATCTTATGTAGGCATTGCTGTCCCATGCAACAAATCAACAGCGGCAGCACACCTGAACTTCCTCTCCAGACCAGCGGAAGGTAACCACAGCATTGAACCCGACTCTTTGCAGGCAGTGAGCTGACGTCAGCACGTACTCTTCGTGAATCAAAGTTCCAAAACATGTGTGTCCCTGGTTAGGAGCTCCGATGCTGACGATAGCAGGAAACCTGTACTTCTGAGTGGCCATCCACAATCCCTTTCACACCACAAACCGCATTTTACCATCATGTATAATACTGCACCAGCACACCAAATGTTGCTGCAGCATATGCACTGTACTTGTTAGCCAGCATTGTATGCCCCAACATAGAGACTCGGAAGAAGTGCACTGGCCGTGTAACAGCAGCAAGGGCTTCAGGGCAACCACAGTGTATTCAAAGTACCAGCTGCAGTACAGCGCAGGGTCGTTGCCACTATTGCATGTAACAACTCTTGAGTTGCCGGAAAGCGATACAAGGCAGATGGTTGGCAGGGGTTGCATCCTGCCATGGCACGACCTGCATGCAAAAATTGAAAAGTTGTTGGCATCTCCATTCGAGCAACAGAATTTCATTGACTTCCAGCATCCAATTGCTGGAATATCGAAAGGTTGGCCTTCAAGACCACCCAGGACTGGAATACAACAAAATGACAATACAATCGCGCACAGTGCTGAGAGCATGCTCGGCAGAGGCAAGATTGACGCACAGATGGCCGCACCAGATTGGTGCCTTGACTGAAGCTCGGCTCCTGAACGTCGTTGCTCTTTGCCGTCAACTTGGGCTCAGCCTCGTATGGCAGAGCTCCAGGAGGCGGCATCGGCCCAGCATAGTGTTCTGGGGTCTCCGGGGCTTCCGCCTGACGCACAGCCGGAGGGCACCAAAGCCAGGCAAGCACAAGGAATGCCAGCCACCTTTGCAAGCCCCTGCTAACCAGGCTTCGCCGGTTGGCGGGCGCGCTTTCTGTGCCGCATCGCCCCAGCCGTGCCGTTGTTATCTTTCCATCACCAGTGCAGGCATCTGTCCGGTCGGTTCTTCGCATTCCTTGACATATACTGCGCCTGAATCACCTCCGCACGACGTCAGTCTCACGTCACCCCCCGAGCTTTCCAGCACTACACAACCCACGAAGCCCATAAGCAAAGGGTCTGACAGCAGGAGGTGAACAACCCTGACAAGGGACTGTCGCCCCGGGCGGAGGCGCTTTGTTCCGGAAACGCGGTTCCGCCAATCATTTGCTGCCCGCTCTGACCGTGGGGGACAGTTCAGGATCTGCGGCGACCGTGCGCCTCACCGGAGCGATCAGCGGAAGTGTGAGCCCCAACCACAGGCTTTCTTGCAAGGCAAACATCCCTCAAACCTGGAAGCAATGGGGCGATGTCGGCGACCGGAGCTCCGGGCTCGAGCCCGTGCGTCCACCCCACGTTACCGTAGTTTGCACCACGGCCGCCCTGTGTCACATCTCCCCACCCTCTCGGCGGCCGAGCCGTGTTTGGCAACCAGGCAACCGTCCTCGACAGAGGCAAGCGCGGCACGCGGACGGGGCGTGATGATGGCGTCTTCTCCCGGGGGACGGGGCGCCAATCGCTGAGGTCCCGTCGCGCCGTTGTCGTCCGGCCGCCGCGAACGCACAACATCTGGCCGTTGGCGCATTAGGGGGAGGGCGGGGGGGGGAGCACGCGGTTGCCTAGTCGTGCAATCGGCCCCTGACGCGTGGGCGAGGGCAAAATCCGGCAAAGGCTTTGTGGGTTGAGTCTCGGCGAGGGGAGCCTGGGCGTTCGCCCCTCAGTTCGGTGATAGCGCGCCCTGCCGTGGCAAACGTGCAAACCCTAGAACCCTCTCGCTGCCGCAGCCCGGCACGGATGGGAACCAGCAGATCGCGGAACGGGGCGAGAGAAAACAGCGGCAGGCAACGACGCGCAAACCCCCGGGAATCCGCACACAAAAGGGGAGGGTGGGACGCCACGAGATGATCCCCACGCGGAGCCCCGCGTCTCCATGCCCAAGTGTCGGAATGCAGCAGGCGAGAATCGGCCCATCGCCGCACCCCGAGACGCACCTTGCCAAAGCTCTCCTCGGGCGAGGGGCGATGCTCACGGGGGAGGCCGTGCGGGAGGGAGCCGTGCGGGCGTGCGGCTGTGCCTGGGGGGGCCGCCCGCGTCAAAAGAAAAGCAAGGGATGTGTTTGCCGCGGGGGTAGCTAGACTGACACTGAGGTAACGCTCTTGAGGCGGCGCCTCTCCCCGATCGGATTGCCTATTCCCCGTGCCTATGGCGTAGCTAAACGGGCACTGTTGATGGCGGCAAGTTCCTGCCATTGTGGGCTCCCAATAGCTACTGCACAGCATGCCAGTGCCGCGCGGTCCAAGCGGCAAGGGGCCTCCAATTCAGAAGGAGAACTCCCTGGTGGACGCGGCGGCCACGGTCATCAATGTTTTTCTCTTTTTCCCGGGGGGAAGGGGGATATTCTGCACCATTATTGTCGAATGCCTGGAAAGCGCCTACCAGTGCTTTCTGTCCGTGGCTGCATACGTCGAGGTGAAAATGCGTCGAGAAAAGCATCAACGATCTCAGTGTTACAACCACTTCGACTCGGTCAAACGTGGGTAAATTTCAGCGTGGTTAATGCCGTGGTGGTGTCCCTGTGCTACACCAGTAAAAAAGCCTGTTTGCGATGCCAATTGTGATGCCATTTGACACAAATTGATGCCATCACAGTCACTGTGACGGCATCACTTTGTGTCAAAATGGCATCGCAGTTGGCATCGCGAACATGCCGTTTTCTGCCAGTGCTAGAGTCGGCGTGTTCGTACCGGCTGCCCAAAGAATACGCACGTTCGAGCATTGATGCATTCAAACATACTACCAGTGCGCACTTGATTGAAGCCGTTGTGATGCCAAGGGTTTTGTTGTGGCGGCAACCTTAACATCAATGAACAAGCGTCTTACTGCACAAAACCATATCCTGCATTATTTACTTTTTCAGAATGATTCAGGGGATGTGGGACTGAAGGAATCGTCTGGGGTTTTGACTGCCTTTGCCAATGCATCGCTCATGGCCAACCCAATTGGCACAAGTGACATGCGTCAAAATGTTCCACCGAATGCCACTTGCAAGCTTCCCAGTCCACGCAATTTCTGTTTGTATCCACAATATGTCAACATGCTGAATTGTTAAAATACATGCTCAATTGCAGCGTCTTTGTGTTTACTGCCCAATTACCTCGTGTTGTTCCATTTGTTTACCAGGCGATGCACGTGTTATTGAAGCGGAGCAATCCGCCCCGACCACGAGTCCTGCCATCGTTCTTCACTGAATCTAGGGCTGCTTCAACAAGGCTTGCTATTGGTTGCCTAGCAAGAGGCCCTGGTCGCCACAGGCCACACGTTAGAGGGTGTTGACGGCAGCGGTTAGAGCTCATACCAGCGCCAACCGTCCCACTGGCGGTCAACGTTCCGGGTAAAGGGCTCTGGAGCTCAAGATGCCCTCTAAGGTTTTATCTTTCAAGAGGGGCAACAAAGTGTGCGAGTTCCGAGTTCTTCCTTGATGCTCACCTCAGACTGCTTGCCCACCATTGAGCGGCTGGCTGCGCCGCCCGCTGGACGAATGCATGCTTCGGTGTGAACGGGGGTCAGCTCGCCCTTGATCGTTGACCCGCTCGACCAGGTGTCCGGCACTCCGCGTTCCATGGCGGAACTTCCCGCATCGCCTTGCGCGCACAGTGCCCATCCTACCAGCCATCGCCCCCTGCCGTTGTGGAGGACTGCCGTCCGCGGATGCCCAAACGTCCAGTGCCCCACCAATCGACGATCGGACGGCGCAGCAAAGCCCTCCGACAGGCGACCGGCCAATGCCCATTCACCATCAAACCCTCATCGATGATTTCAATCCCGGCTCTCGGCGGGAAGGCGAGCGCCCTCATTCGCCCCCGCAAAGGCACACAACACTTCATTGAAACCCCCTTTCGACGGCTGGAGCGCTGGCGGTTGCCGCTGTCTGGGACGCGCTTACGCCGTGTGGCCGTGGCTCCCTGTAGGGGCATCCTGGCGCCGACGACGTCCCTCGCCATCCCCTTGGTCTGTATGGCCCGCCAGCGGACGCGTATGCAGTCCCACTTGGGCCGCCGAGCGACTGGTGACCTTCCTCTCCGTTTCCGCATTGAGGGACTGCGAGGGTGAACAGCCGGACGTCAGGCAGCCCGCGCACGTGGTGCTCTTCGGGTGCGCGTCCCCCTCGTGGGTGCCTCCACCTTTCAAAGGTGGCAGGGGTTTCGGAAGGGTGCTGTGCGCATCGCGAGTTGAGTGGGAGTGGTCAAAAGGGGTGCTGACACGTCATCAT